TATCCGCCGTAGCCAGTGCCGTATCCACCGCCATAACCGCCGAGTCCGCTGTAGCCGCCGCCGTAGCCGCCGCCGTAGCCGCCGCCGTAGCCGCCGTAGCCGCCGTAGCCGCCGCCGTAACCGCCGCCAACACCACCATACCCAGTGCCGTAGCCACCGCCATAACCGCCGTATGGACCAGCGCCAATAACGGTCTGTTGAAGGTGGTATCCTCTGACAGGGACATTGACGGTGTTCTGAACGAGCCTGTGACCGTGAACTGGGACGACGTCCACCCTGGGGACGTACCTTACCACCTGCTTGTAGTTGACAGTCGGAACCTTCTTGGTGACAACAGCCTTCTTGTAGGTGACAAATGGCTTGACACTGGTTGACACCTTTGGCTTGGTGGGGGCAACAGGTTTTGTGACCACTGTGGCCGACGCCACCGTGGCCAAGGCCAATAGAGCGACTGCAACTTTCATGATGATGTCGAATGGTAAGTCAAATGTCCTCAGAGATGTCCAGAAACGACACTGGCCATCCAACCGATGCCCTGGTCATTTTATAGTCGGTAACCTACAATTAGAGGACATACGTTTAAAACGGCATTTTCTTCACAGCTGCAATTATAGAGCTGATAGCAGGCTCAAGGTAACAGCTTTTTAAGGTGATGTTTGGCCATTCCATCCCTCGTCGACCGTTATCTGGAAGGCCTAGAGTGGACATTATCTTTGACTTTATCATTACTGTCAGTAAAATACCCAGGCATTCTCATTAAAGGTACGGAGGGCGTCAAGATTTTCACGGAGATATTCACCTAAATGTGGTTATTTGCAGGACGCCAAGAAGAAAATAGACCATTCTAGTTTCCCTTATCTTTTTTTTTTTTAGAATATCACAAGCGGCCATTTCTCCAATTCAACAAGAGAACAGATATTCATATAACTAAGAAACCCCTTGAAGTGATTATGCGTCGATGTCTAATATTTTGTACTCTTTTACGAGAGAGAATACAGCACCTGCACATTATTTCATTTAAGGATAGGATTTATCATCTTTGAATTTATATCTAATTACATTTACGATACTCCTTCAACCCCTTGAAGGAGCGTGGTATAGGAAGACGCGCTCTTTAGATCAGGTGATGTGTCATATGAACTGTCTGAACGGTACGAGAGAGAGAGAGAGAGAGAGAGAGAGAGAGAGAGAGAGAGAGAGAGAGGATAAAATGTAAGAGGAAGTGCGGGACAAAACAAACATATAAACATGTTTTTTTTCTGATGGGGATGAGTGGTCGATTTCTAAAATTGTTTTGTTTATTTCGTCAAAATAAAGAATGTTATCACAAATCCGCTTCATTCTTTTTATTAGAGAGACCTTCAATAAATGCCGTCGTCATCGGATTGATTTTGATTTTGTTTTATTCTTTTTAAAGGCACGTCTTATTATTTAAGTCGGTTTAGATCAAGGAGACATAAAGAATGTTATCCGCTAGCTTTCTTTCACATATGGGCACAAGCTCAAATGATAGAATGCGTTCCCCGGTATCATGCACGCCTACAGCGTCGACCGCGCCAGTATATCTCTCAGCACTTATATAGTTTATTGCCCTGGAAAATTGGCAAAGATATTATATGATAAGAAGAAAAAGCTTTTATACGGAAGATGATCAAAGTCAATGAGACGCGATTGGAAGCCGTGTTACATGTATGTATATGGCCATTCACTTGAAGACAAACCCCAAATCATTAATTGCACCAGAAGTACAATTCCTCTTGCCAGCCTTATCTAAGACCAGGGTTCTTGCTGCATGTTAGATTATGGCTTTGAGCACACAGCAACTTTTTTAAAATTTGATTTTCTTTAAAACACAAGTACCTTCAATATTTTAATGTAAACATCCATGTTATGAGACTTACGTGATAACTTCGTGGTCAAATTCCCATTTGGAGATGGATGATACGAAACATTCAAGATGACAAAACTTTAAAAATTTACAATCATCTTAATGAGATATGTCAGCGAAAGCATTTGCCCGTGGTCAAGGTCGAGCTGAAGGGATAATTTTCATATTTCAAATCTACTTTTCAAATGTAAATTTGTAATACTCCAGTTGAATCTGTTGTTGCTCTCTTTCTCTTCCACCTTGATGATTTTAGGAAGCATAATCATAGTAAAATGTTTAAAACTTAGTGTAATTCACTTGCATGGATTTGAAATTGAGCTTTTCCCTATTCTTACCACATTGGTGAAAAAAAACGTTGGGAGCTGCAACGAAAACGTATCAATCTTCGAGGAAGCTGCTCGAGGAGTGCAACATCTGCACTGATACAGGAAGGGCACTGTGCGGTCACTTTTCAACCGAAAAACTTAATTTCCCATCGTGACACGGCACCCGCTGTAGACATACTCGTCGTAGCCCGTAGCTACTTACGATGTGAAAAAGTCGTACGGAAAATCGTATACGATTTCTTCGTACGGCGCCCGTGGCATATGTAATCTAGGTTTTAGTTTAATTTTCATCAATCTTTTATCATGGTTTCGGGAAAGGGAAAATAAAACACCCTCATTAAAAGATTAAAATTTCTTAAATTATAGTACAGTTATCTAGTATGACACTTGGTGAAAATGGTGATTTAATACATAATGGGCATGAAACCGCATTCGATAAAATCCATTGTTGACATTCATATTCTACCCTTTCTGTTTTTTAATCGAAATTGAAAACATTTGGAAAAGATAACTCAAGATCATGTATGATAATTTATCATAAGAGTGGACCAGACTAAGAATGTGACCCGAAGATGTGACTTATGCCCCGGCGTCGCGATATATAACACAGATTTTACGGTTTATCGGGGATTTAACGGTTTACTGTAAATATAATAACGATTTACTGTAAATATAATCAGGTCTTTTCAAAATTACCTGGTTGTTTAAAAAAATCGTGTTGTGTGCGAAGGAGAAAGGATTCATTTTCCCACCAATTGATAACAGTGGCGGCCCCACGCACGCTGAATATAGTAATTTAATATGTAAAATAAGCAGAAGGTCTCGGAACGGCTTTACCCATCTGATCTGTGAATTATAGTATTAAGACATTTCTTATCAGTTTAATGTATCTCCAGTGCTATTACTATGTAATGCGCCCCATAAGTAATACGTTCGAAGAGTACATAGGACCGAAGGCACACCATCGGTCACACCAAACTTCAATCCGTGGATTTTTCTTCGGGTGTAAATGGAATCGGCGTTTTCATTTTAACCAGAGTCACGTTAAGATAAAAGATGAATTTGAAAATTATGAAATTGCTTTAAAAACTTTCTCTACACTGTTTGGTGTTTGTTTTTGTCAATTAATTTTTCAGCATTTCGCAATTTTTCTAATTACAAAAAAGTTTTTCGTTATATCCGATTTTCTTATTGATTTATTTCACAGAAGACGCTGCACCTGGATTCCTTAAACAAGCCCCAGCCCATAGACACACAATGTTAATTGTGATATATCGATACATTAATATATAATATAATGGTTAAAATAACAAGAAAAATTCTGAAAAGTCACACATTATAATTTGAATATTTTTACTCTCAATAATATTTGTACTAAATGTTTTCTGGCATAAAGGCTCTTCAGAGTTATTGCAACTAGCTAATACTTGTATAGTCCTGCAAGGGCTACGCTATTGGTAAAAATGTCTTTATGGGCTCATTCCCAAATGATATAATCATCGTTAATTTTGGTCGTCATGCTTTTCAAGTTTATAACGAACATTTGACAGCAACGTAAAAAAAAAAAGAATCATCGAGGATTTCTTATTTAAAGTTCGTCTTGTTTTATAAATTGTGGGTATTAACTTAACCGCTGCGCAGAATTGTCGCGTGTGAAGCTGCATTATACAAGATAGCAACGGGTGAATTTCAAAGTGGGCTCAATGGCCCATTCCTTCCTCCTTTTTAACAGGAAAACCGTTTCCCGCCTACTCAAAAAGGACAAAAAAAAAGTCACATTTAGGCTCTCAGAGGACTGGGGGTACTTTTTGCGTATATATAGCCCCTTTGCTTTTCCACCCTTTTCAATGCAGTGTACGCTAAATAAGACGGCGGAAGTTTCTTAGTACGGGTTTTACATACACATTGTCACAAGACGCAGGAAATCAGTTATGTACATCGGCGTGAAGACGATATATACTGTACGTATTATTAGCGCGGTGATATCACGTGCAACTCATGAAAAATGCAAATTACACTTTGCCTAGTACGTCGCAAGAATTAAGCAATTAATATGATTTGAAGATGAAGTTTGCATATTATCGATGCAATGATCTCGTGTGAAAATATTATGTAAAACTTAAATTATAGTTTTTCTCCACTTGAGTGGTAATTAATGTCAAAAGATTGCGTCATGTTTCATTGGGCGGGGGTGATATCTGAAAATAACTTCTACGATAAAAGTGCTCTCGTTTTGATGATATTGATTGTATCCATAGCCCCACAAATCTAACGTACATTGTATTTGTAGGTGCTTTACCCGTTGATTAAAAAAAAAACTTCATTACTGCATTGTTGACATATTACTGCAAAAGCAGTGTTATTGCGTGGGACATAAATTCTAGAAAATTGTCAAGCTAAGATGTATGCGTAATTATACATGTATGTTATCTATTCTATGCACCTGGCGAAACGGTTTTTTCAAGCACTTATCACTGTGTAGGCCAAAAAGCTTGGGATCACGTGCTTGGTATATAAAAAAGAAACAACACTTAATTTACACGTTGTCAACATATCTGAAGGTACGATCACACGTTTGTCCGTCTGCTGGCAGATCGTGTATCCTATGTATCCTATGAAAATAACGCGGCCAACAAATGTAACGGTTAGATTGCAGGTCAGATATTAAGCTGGCCATGTTAGATAGCACGTGTACATGCACCTAATTTCGCGCATGTTAACTTGGGGCGTTTGTCAACAAACAAGACGGCGTAATCATAGGCTGTAGAAATTTTAAATTGTAGAAATTGATATATACAGTGTGCATCTGAATAGATTAAAAAGGAAAATGGTTGGTTGAGTCCAGGAGGAAAACGGTTTATGACCTTAAAAAAAAATCAAGCATATTTTGAATTCCCAAACGGAGAAAAATTTTGGGTCTTTCCAATAAGTCGATTTTTCGTCCAAGCGCAACGATTAAAGAGATAACTGCACAATATGGTAGTCGGAAGGTTTTTTTCTCCTATACACAAAAAGGGGAAAAACGGAGGAAATTTACGGACATTTGAAGTCATTTGATCTAAGAGGAATCTTTTCACCATTTTACCATTCTTTTCTCTTTGTTTATTTATGCAAAGAAAAACATAGGAAGATTTTGAAAAGTGTACCAAAAGAAAGTAAAGTGCCTGCTCGATAAAGAACGGTCAAATTTTCAAGTTTACATTGACGGGTACATGTATGTAATTTTTTTCTGTCGGAAGACGGTCAAAAATGGAGGATGGATCGATAAAGATAATTTGGAAGACTGTCAGAAAATATATCTGGATCCGCCCCTGCGATCGTTAAGTTACAAATGTTTAAGTCTAAAGCTGCGTACAACTTCTAGGATAAACACGATGTTAAATGTTCATTTTTTATATTAAAACAGAGTATTCCATTTACAAACTTTGAATAACATTATCCATACTTTTCACTTGTATATACAGTGTTCAGACATACGGTATTACTAAGTCGCCACATTTATTTATGGCATTAATTTCGACTTTTTTGGACCCATTTGTGAATTCGCGCATAGCTTTCCATAATCTTTTCTCCATCAGGAAACGATTGCGTGTTTTAACGTACTATTATATTTTTAACCTGTTATTAGAGGTACAAAAGGAACGCAACTTTTTACCAAATGCTGGTAATTATTTTGTTTCGTGAAAGGCGTGCGTACTTTGAAACACTATCATTTTTAACAATTTGCTTTCTACGAAGGCGAAGCCCTTTTTTCAAAATGATAACGTCACATAGCATGTTCGTTGTCATTAGTGAATTTTTTGGAAGGTGATAAATCTTATGACACAAAAATTAAATAAGTTTAATGAAGGACAAAAACTGTCTGAACTCGGGCGTATAAAAAGACTAAAAAGGTGAGAAGAGAGAGAAACTCTCACTTCGGCGCTTGTTCCCGACTCGAAGCCCCCATTTTCTCTATTCGCAGTTTACCACCCAACACCTGACATGAAGGTCATCGTGTTTTTGGCCATTGTGTCCGTCGCCTTGGGCACCACGATGAAGGGAGCTTACCATCAGCCAAAAGTCTCACAGCACATCCAACCATTCACGACTCTGAAGCAAGTGCTTCAAATCAGGAAAATCCCCACCGTTCAACATAGAGTGATCCACGGAACTAAGCTAGTCAGTGTGCCTACGAGGCGAGTCATTCAAGTTCCCGGGGTCCGCTTAGTCCCACAGATTGTGCACCAACCGGTTTCTGGGTACAGGCTGACGAGGATAGTCACTGGTCTTCCCTTTCAAGGTGGCGCCATTGGCTTGGGAGGAGCCGGTGGAGCCGGTTCTGGATTGGGTATCGGATCCGGTGCAGCTGGTTCTGGATTGGGTATCGGATCCGGTGCAGCCGGTTCTGGATTCAAAGGCATCGGAGGTAATCCTTATTTTGGTGGAGCCGGTTCTGGACTCAAAGGTATCGGAGGCACTCCTTTATTCGGTGGAGCCGGATCTGCATTCAAAGGTATCGGAGGCACTCCTTTATTCGGTGGAGCCGGGTCTGGATTCAAAGGTATCGGAGGCACTCCTTTATTCGGTGGAGCCGGATCTGGATTTAAAGGATTCGCCGGAGGTTCCGGATACGGAAGCGGTGGATACGGCTCCAGTTTCGGGGGTGCTGGTGGCTCCTTCAAAGCTGGTGGTGGATGGTAGTCACAGACAAGCAATGTAAATTGTAAGTTCTATTGTTTGGTTTGATAATAATACATGCAGGTACATTTTTATATGTATATGTATTAGTCTGAACTAAAATTTCGTCGTATTCTGAACATTTTCACTGTTAAAATCGAGTATCCCAGTAAGGCAGAGACCCAGTAAGTAACCCAGTAAGGTAGAGACTATGGCAATAAAATTGACTACTTTAAATGTTCGTCTCCCTTTTAGTAAGTCAATCTGGATTTGTGGAAGGGTGTCGAAAACTCTTGCTCTCGTGTTCCAGATTATTTTATTTTATGTGCTTCAGCCACAAAAGTAGCTTTTTATCAATTTAAATAAAATCGGCTCAGTGACTTAAAGCATTTCTTTTTTTTTCAGAGTTTCAGGACTGGGACAAGCCAAAAAGTGGCGAAAACACGAGTGTTGGACTTTCGGTCCTCAGTCACATAGCTACTTTACGTTAGTTACATTGGATAAGACCTACACATCATACCAAATACATGACCAAACGGCCACAGACATTCAATGCATGTGAAACTAAAGAACTTGATGCATTTCTCACCAGTCTGCGTGGAGTTATATCACTATATCAATTGAAACAACCACAACAATGAATCAAGTGAACCTTTGTCTTAGTTACACCATGCTGAATTAAAACTCGTAACCGAGTAATATTTTAAATGACAAACAATAAGCACGTACGCGCACTAAACAAAAAGACGGCTTTACTTTCCACAATTTTCAAGCTTGCTGGCGAACATGCCTGGTTTGTAGATTTGCACCTCATATCTTTTCACAGCATTGAACAATAAATGAATTGCAAGAAATTATGTATATTAGCATTTTCTTCTCCAAGTTTAACATGGACCAACGGAATTTTCAAAACATGGCGTTCGCTGACAGGTTTCAAGATAATAAAGCAAAATACACCAAAATGAGCTCGTCGTGGGATAGATCGATCTAAAATCTGTTGGAATGGGGTCTAAGACGTACCATCTGAAAACTGGGTGGCTTTTAGCTCGTTACAAACTCGCTGAAGCGTCTGTATTTGAATTTTGTACCAGGCTATGCTTGAGACCCCTACGGTATCAGAGCTCTTTTACATCTACACGAAGTTATTACTGTTAAATTTTCGTTTTCTTGTACTCTTTTCATTTTTTTTTTATTTTGAAGAAGTATTTTTTTATTTTTGATGAACAAAGTGTGACTATCAAGATCTTTACTTACCAACCCACTAAAGACTCAATAATTTTTGATCAATATTGAATATATTGTCATTATATTGAAAGTATTTTCGGTCACTAGGGCATTTCTTCTTTTTCTCTCACCCTACACTTAATTCAACCCTCTTTATTTTTCGGGATAAAAGAAATTAGCCATGTCTTTTCCATTTCTTTATCTCCAAAATGTTAACCATTTTAAAGGCAACATAAGATACGTGGTTTACTGCAACTTTTCTTATCATTAAACGGATTGGTTAAGTTAGCGAGATCACCGGTAGACAGTTATACGTTATCATATGTATGTGTTGTTCCGAACACGGCCAACAGGCTGAAAATGTCACGCCCCTATCTGAGGATCTGAGGAGGGCAGACATGGGGAAAATGTGTGTTTAAAACTAACATATTTTCTTTGATAAGTTTTTTTTTTCACTTTCGGTATAAGTCACGGCACTTGTTTCCTGATTCGTCTGATAAATCACATGATACAGAGGTCAGACGGACCCTTATGATAGTAAATATATGTATGGGAGGCAGACTGTGGGCGTTTGTTTTTCTGAAATAGACCTGCTGTCCAGATGTAATCAAGGGCAAATATAAATACAGCCCTGTAACGTGATCATTTATGCATTTCACCTCTTTTCATTAAAGCACGTTAATGTGTTCATAAAAGGCATTTTTCTTTCCAAGAAGTCGACTTTCCCACAATACATCCGTCCTTCTCTGGAATAATCTCGTGCACCACGAATGTTCTGAGATAAACCAAGTAAAATTTGTGCACGAGTTTGCTATAACTTAAATATCGAAATCGATGATACCCATGTCACCACCACTTCCATTACTGAGAGATTATGGTATGGTATGGTTATTGTGCCTTTTTAGTCACCCGAATCAATTTACCACCAAAGGACCAGAAAGAGGCTAATTAATATAAGGATATACGAGTGATATTTCATACTTTTTCTGTTATTTATTTATTTATTTATTTATTTATTTATTTATTTATTGCATTAATGTTACCCCAGAACACCCATATTTAAAAAAGTTTTGTTCTATTCAGTGAAAATCATATTGTTTCTGATTTTGCTGTCAAACTGATTTAATTAATGCTCTACGGTTCGTTTGTACTCTCTCACGCTGTTACAGCTTTTTTTAGTATCATAATATCGACGTGTCCAATTTATTGAATAAAGTAACTGTCCGGTGTAGAAGAGTGTGTCAAGTAACAAGGTGTGAAATGTCAAAACGAACATGCTGTCTTTTTTTTTCTCTTGAAGTCAACAAATATTTGGCACTTAAAATATTAATATTAATCTATTGCGTGTCTACACAACATCTTAAAATCTGATAATTTTTCTTACAAAAACGTTAATTGCTAATTATGCATCTTTCAATCTTACATCAACTCAGCCATGCATGCCATAATTAGTGGAGAGGTATGTTAAAGGTACAAGGCGCTTCTTTTCAGTTGAAAAAAGCAAGCACCGTGTCTGGGTCACCATGACATCAATTTATTAATTCGCACTTTAAAACTTCACTAATATGTTTTACAATCAGAGAAGTTTTAATGTCCAAATTGATTAACTGCGCCGTTGCTCACCGGCAACTAAATAATCACGTTCACAAACATTTAAATGTTACTACCGAAATTCATAAGACTTCTGGGGGCACATCAAACATTTTGCCTTTAAATACAGTGACAATACCGCCCCAGAAGTCCATTTATTACATGTATGTGAACCGCCTGTCCTAATATACTCAGAGAATTATCATTGCAGCATATGCCCATATATTGCAAAAGAATTACAACTAATTGCTTCTAAAAGGTATTCTCTCTTTTGCCCTTGTTAACGTTTACGAATGAGCAGAAGTCTTTCATCATAAGGCACAACATACTTTATTTCAAAACAATATACAAAACCCATCTTCCCGGTTATCTAATGCATGATATTGCCACTAAAGATTACATTAAATGTGCTGTGCTCTGGTGAATATAATATAATATGTACTGTACAGACAAGTGGGCTACTGCTGGGTACAGAGGAGAGCGAAGAAGGAGGGGCGCCCATGTAAAAAAGGGGAAAAAATGGTCGCCCCGCTTCAATTTGCATGTCTGCATGCAATACAATGGAGGGTACTTTGAAGATGGGGGTGAGGTGGGATGGGGGTTGGGGTTAGAGACGACCCTCTGTGTCACCCTGGTTCTGCCTTCGTATAATGAAAATGTTACAAATATTGGCGTATTCACAATAGCTCGGTATCAAATCTGTGCACCACCGTGAAGGGAAATAACAATGGAATGGACGATTTTGCCAACGCTAAGCAGTCTATATGTACAAAAGATAAAGATATTGACTCATTTTTACAAACGGGAGAGCAGCACAAAACAAACGATTGCAGTCCATGGCCATCACGGTGAAACCAGCGTGAAAAGTGTTATATTGGAATATATGAGAACACAAGGTGGCATTTGCAGTTACGTTTCTAGTGATCAACCAAATATGGTACCATATCAGCTATCTTCCTTCTGTTCTCCCATTTGGTGCCATTGTAGCTAAGGCCACAGTCCAAAGCTTTAAGATTAACCCCAATAAGCCACAGAGCATGACTGGAAACATGAATTAAAGGAGTACGTTACAATCATCAAATGGGGCACTGCAGTATGTCAAATATGCCACAAGCTCACTCCGTTCCTTTCCGCGGGAGAGCTTCGTTCTGGTAGTGAATTAGAAATAAATCAAAAATGAAAAGCTATGATTAATTAAGACGCAATTCCATCCATAGTAGGGTTTATGTTAAAAATCCTGTTGGATAATTTGCCAATAAAATGCTACTGTTCGATCATTATCAAAGTACACAAGAGAGCGTCGACGTGAAATGTAAAGGAGAGGAGCAGGCACTGTTCCTGACTTGGCAATTATCTTGAAAGCAGCAGTTAACATATCAAAGTTAACATATCAGGCACCCTAGCAAAATATCAATGTAACTGAAAATACTTATAGCAAAGCCAGTGTTCACTTTCACAAAAAATAATGCAATGTGAAATGGACTTTAATTTCACCTTATCAACCAGTTTTTACTTCAAAAAACCGTTCTTGTTCCGGCAAGTTCCATCACATGGCAGACTCCTAACGGAGGTAGGTTTGTATATATATGCCTTTATCCATCAGTCTCGTGGAACTCATGGCAAAAACGTGCGAAAATGCAGTTTATTTCTTAAGGCTACATGTACAATGTATAAACTGTATATAGTTTCCCTTTGTGCTGTAATATTTTCTTGCCTGATTCTCTCCTATAGCCAACAACACCAAATCCATAATTTACAAACTTATGCAACCCCTGAAAAATGTCTTGCTGAATGAAAACCTTACAAAACAAAGAGATTTTCGCAAGACTTTGCCGCGTTTGAAGTCCGCCTTTTACTTGAGAATTTCTTTATGATTTCCTTAGCTAATGTTCTTACTGGCGATTTTGACTTTCGCATCGACATCTTTCGGGCTGTTGAGAAGTCATCTGGTTGGTGTGTTTCCGACAGTCTGATTTGCTTTAGTATCCCCACTAGCAGTTCGTCTGCGTTCATCTTCAATACGGCGGACGTTTCAATGAATTTGCAGTTGTAATGGCATGCCACATCTTTAGCCTCTGAAAGAAATAAGAAGTACGATATCAGCATCAGAAGCTTTGCGATTTTGGCGTTTAGTAATAAACGACATCGTTGTCCTTCTATCCCATTTATTTATTGGTCCATTTATCATAATCTAATAAAACATTCTTTGTACATATTTTTGAAAAAAAATTAGCTCATATTTTGCGATGCTCGCTATCTTAATTGAACTCACCAATGAAAAAGTCGACCTATTCTGAACTCTAAACAGTGCGTTCACACCAAAAGCATTTTCAATTTGTGCTCAACCGCAATCCTCACTAAAACATTTCTTCGACACGCAAGTGCACATTACCGTCCTGATTGATTTTTTGTTTCTGATCTATGACATAACACTTAATGACGTACATTTACAGCTCATCGACTATATTTAATTTAATGCTGATCACCACACTTGAGTGTACTTCGATCCTAAGTCTGCTGTCGTCGAAATTGTCAAAACATCTTTCAAACTGAAATAAAATCATCACTAAACCTATGACCCGTCCAGTTCGGCCAACTGGGTGGTCAGGGTAGGTAGTTCACTTTGAATTTAACAGTGCTAATTGTAAAAAAATCGACAAATGTATTGTCCCAGTTTTATATTAACTAAGTACTACATATTGTACATCAGAGAACATGCAAATTCGAATGTTATGGCAAAAATGCGGCAATTTTGCAGCAGCGATAAGAAGTTAAGACCTCACTGCCAGATTATACAAATTTTGAGTAAGGATTTAAAATTCTTACCCTCAGTTGATAAACTGCGCCTCCTAGCCAGGTCGATCTTATTGCCAACGAGAATGATGGGACAGTCCTTCTTTGCCACCTTCCGCAAGTTGTACAAGATCTTGGTAGCGTACTGGAACGTGTTCTTGTCGGTGACGGAGTATACGATGACGTAAGCGTCCACCTCAGCGTCCACAGGCCAATCAGAGTCCTACAATGGAGACAGGACTAACGGATTAATAAGTTTTATACCTCTTCGACAGAGATAAATGGCCCAAATAGGTCAAGATACCTGTTAAATTGTTCTGTTATACAAAGTACAGTTATTTTTACCCTTTTTTTAGCTATGAAATCACACTGGCACTTTCACAAACACACATACACTCACACACACACACACACACACACACACATTTTCATAATGGCGTTTGCACCCTACATTGTTTCTACTTCCTCACCAGTCATAAGACATAGCATGCCCTTTCCTTATAGCGGGGTAATTGAATGTACACGCAGTCACTTTACTCTTTATCGCGACATGAACATGTATCGTACTGCCCTTAATGGCGTCCCATAGCTTTTTACTAGATGATGCAAGGTAATGCCAGATACCCCCAGTATGTAATCCACTGAGAGGATATAGAGAAGGCAGGAGCGGGGGCGGGGGTGGGGGTGGGGGTGGGGTCAAATCCCCAACTACTCCCATCCCCTACCCTACTCCCCCATGGGAGGAACTTTTGGAAAAAAACGGCGCAATACCTGGATATCTTATGAAACTCCTGAGCGCCATAAGTTAGTCTTTTCTCTCCTTGTGTGGTCCGCTATTCCCTTTATGAGAAAAGTGTCGCCCCCTATCCATTCATGTACGCTTTATGTTTATGTTTATGTGATGTAATTTGATGAAATATTTATCACGTGTTGAAACTCTCCAGGTTTCAAATTTTTATCATCCCTCAAGATCTGCTAACTGTTTATTATAAACTTTAGTAACAGTGAGGGACTATCTACCTGGGCCTGGGTGGTCGGAATCATTCAGTTGGGAAACAAGAGGAAACTGACGTCATGCGTATATATATATATTCAATATATACTATTACATATATATGCGGGTGGGTTTCTTATTAAATGTCAAAAGATCGTGGAGATTGCTTTTAACAAGAGAAGAGAGCAGGTAAAGTTACGTGTTATATCTGGCTGGCGGTACGAGTAGGTGAGCACCGCTGTTAGCAATTCACAGCACACCTACGACAGTTTTCCGCGGTTCATCACAATGCATGGAACCATCAAACCCCATATCACGTTCCCACATATACGAGCGATATTTTATCTCAAAACATAGCGGGATCTATAATACTTTATGTCAAATATAAGAATTCTGAAGTGGCGGCAGACAGGTTTACGGTACGTGCACTTGTTCGCAACAGGGAACCGTTCATTGACACTGTCTCCAGTTTAATTCCACATAAAGTGTGATTCACTTTCGTGATAAAAAGAACAGGCAGACAGTGCCATCGTTTTTGCATATCTTTGATTGAGAATAAATCATCTCCGACTTCAGATCATTGGATATGCACTTGACTCAGGCTTTAACAAAAAGACTGCCACAAATTAAGTGCCAAACATAATTTTGCATCACCTGATTTACGTCCCTAATTAGAAGTTGCACGTGCAGGATGGCACGTGTTTTAGACATTTGGCAAAATAACTATACAGTATAACGTAGAAATGCTAAATCAGGTGTTGATGTCTGAGTTTGTTAGGGTATAAATTTTAAAACGGTCGGATCATGTGTAAGCAACAAATACGTAATCTTTGTATATTAGACAAACAAACAAACAAGCAAGAAAGTAAACAAGCAAAAAACATACAGTGTATAAACAAACAAGCCAGCTACTAGACAAACAAACAACAAACAAACAAGCAAGCAAGAAATCAAACAAGCAGACAAATATATAAACAAACAAGCAAGCAACTAAACAAACAAACATGCACAGAAAGTACAACTGTGAGCAAGCGAATAACACGTATATCTGTCCATGAGTAAGCAAGCAAACAAGCAAAACAAAGAAACAAATAAAAGGCGCGTTTCACACTAACACTAGACAATTTAAAATACCAGTGAGCATTATTAGCTGAAGCACAAGTAGTTTATTGTCCGAAGGTAAAAGTTAAAACGCGTTTACTAAATCTGCCTAAATTGATTTGGAAAATAGGAATGAGGGTATGCATGTATACGCCTATGAGGTCTTTTGCTGTCAAAGCAGCAACAATTAAGCCTCTGGGGACAGATTCCTTAGAAAATGTATCTACAAAATGTATTTGAGAAATAAGGGTACGCATACATTAAAGGATGAATCCTCATTGTATGTACTTCAAAACATTGACACCAACAATGCCTCTACGTATTTCCTAATCTAAACCCCAAGGCAGCGTATGCCCTAAAATATCTTGGCAACATTAGGCTCTCTGGTCAAAATCTGCTGTGCATTGTATTGAAGTTTCCCAGCGATGACCAATGTTTCTGTTTTGGCATGTTTATAATCAAAGAAATACTGCTTGAAACACTATGAGGGACATAACTGATTCCGCGATGAAGTCTGAATGTTTGGAAGTCTTTGATGCAACTCTCACCTATTCACCCGGCGTCTTGAGAGTGATTGGAGGCATTAATGTAGACAGCGCTGGATATTGCAACGGTCCATTGCCGAGAGCACTCGTTCCCTTAATCACTTAATCACACCCAAATCTGGTTAACTATCCAATAATAATTATTCCCCTGGGATTTTCATGACCATTATTCTTAACATCTGAATGATGAAGCACAGAACAAATCGTGAAAGCCGAAAAAGCCTATTTCAGATCCAATAACACGGATATGACATATGGTTCTACTGATTAAAGTTACATATGCGTATGCACGCTATGTAGTAAGAATGAAGCCTACGCTAAAAGCCCTACGTTAACATGCTGCCTGCTCAGTTTCCGTCGGTTAAATTTTGGCTTTGGCAACAATAATCTCTTTTTTTAGTTTTTATAATGTTTTTCATAAAACTCATAAATATCATATTGGATACACTGTAAGTGTGTAAAGAATCAGTGGGTTCTATGGGTTCCGAAATAAAGTATTAATTCATGTTTTATTCAATGTATAAATAAATGCTTTTTCCTTATTTTTGGGTGTGTGTGTGTCGGTAGGACATCGTACGGCTCGCGATGCCCCAATTTATAAAACAGACATTCCAGTCAAATGCTTCACAATCATTAAAAGAGCAAAGTGCCTATCACAATGCATCAATTAAAAACCAAAAACGACCACAAAACAATCGATCTTCCACGCCTTCTGTGTGCGATATCGACATATTTTGACGCATCTAAATGGCTGGGGGATATTTCTTAAAGAGGTAATTTGATACAGTAGACATTAATTCCTTGACAGTCGCCCACGTACTGGCTCATTGGCACTGTTATAACAAATGACCTTGACCTTGTAAGTAATGTAAGCTCATTTGTCCGGATAGATTTATTTATAACGAGGATTTACTTTCTGAACTCTGGATATGAGTGCTCTAATCACCTCGTCGCTTTTTTTTACACAACTTATTCTTTCTCGTGAACAAATCTTGCTGAACAGTTAGCTGAAATCTTGCAGATTATTTTTGCTGAAGACGCCCTTTCGTTAAGGAAAATGGCCTGCGGATTCATAGTAAAATATCTGTGCCATTCTGAATGTATGCTTTAACCAAACCACCTAATTTTCTGTGCGATATTATTATTTATATATGGTAAACCCCAGGGACCAAGTGACGCCTCTGATTAGTTTTTCAATCCATTCACCATTTATTTCAACTTCAAGCTAATAGAATTGCCCACTTGCTTTCTGGAATTCAATGATTTTCGCTATCGAAATCGGCGGGGGAATCAAAATTGGGTAACAACTAGGACATATCTTTCTTTCCAAAATATGAGAATTCTGTCGTGTTTCTTTGTAAAAAAACAACAAATTCCATTTGAAAAATTTGAAACCATTTAAGAATTCTCCTACAACGATATTCTGTTCAAATACATTCTTTACTTACTTTCTAGTACCACACAAGTTTCAGAAATAGGTCGGGAAATGGAAAGAAAGGGGAAATTTGAATTGGACTTGGGGTTTCCCAACTGGAGAAAATTACCAAGAGTTTGAAGTTCATAATCAGACGAAGTACATAATAAAGTACTGTAACAAACCACGGCTTTGTCATGTTAACAAAAAATAAAAAAAAAAATAAAAAAAAATAAATGTTCGTTTCCGTTAGCAGCGACAAAACACTAACCAAATGCTCTGTCGAATCTTAATCAAGTTCTTTTGTGTGTCTGCCAACCAACAACCGACAACCCTCCTATAACAGGGCCCCGTAAAGTACTATACAAAATCACGATTTCAACATTTATGTCTACTCCATCCCAGTGTAACACAAACTTTCATAGTCCCATTCAAGAAAGAAGGCAACAAAGAATATAGATTGTTCAAGATTTGCCCTAAAAGGCTGTTTTTATACAACCCCACTATCCAAATCATTTAACAATAACAACAATGTAGCAAATTGTTGCCTGTATTAAATGTTATGGCCTTAGGGACAAATAATATATATCAAATATTTAATAAGACTCATCATCCTAAAAATTATGATGTGACGAGTCAGCAAAAGTTATTATTTACAAGCAATTTTGCACAACGTCCGTTTGTGGGGTTGGAAAAAAGACTCCTAGTGCACCCTCTGGGGATGCAGAGAGTAATCAGTCCATGTTTTAACCACAGTGCACCCTTAACTACACCAGAAAGATGCGTTTATCCTTCACATATTAAAACATTATAATCACGTGATTTAACTCTGCTGCCTACGATTACCTTATGGTGATACAACTGTACAAGTTGGCTGCTCCATTGTGAATGGGAACACAACTTATGACGTAGCTCTACACGCATGCAGTACTAGGTACATACCTGTTCGCCTATGTTGCTGCTTTTAGGGCTGATAAACAGAAGTTCCGACTCCTCCCCATCCAGTGCCACTGATACAGACGTCTGGCAGTCATCTTCTACAAATATAAGCCAGTTTTGATTGAATTAGCTGCACGGCAATTTTGTTTTTCGTGTTAATTAAATAAAGATAAGCCATCGGTGCATGATAGCTACATAAACCAGTGATGTTGTATGAATTGTTTGCCAATGCGATTAATAATATAAAATATAGTATGACCATGAAATAAAAATTAGTTAGCTTTATTTTCTTAATCTAAATTCGCCATCTCTGTGATTGGCCTGAATATCGATGGATGTCTATTGACCTTTACGCGGAACATATCTACGTGTGAAAAAGTTGATCTACGGTAATTCAGAAACTATCTATTTGAATATTTCTCATTACCTAATCTTTGGTCATTTTAATCATATTCAAAAAAAAAAAAAAAATTGTAAATTTAAAGTGTCAGATGCTGCATATTTCGCTGTGCTTGTTTCGGAAACATTGTGTTGCCGTTTGAGCAGTGTAAAATGTTTCAGAATTCCTCAATGGAATAAACACACTCTACTGTCCAGAACCTCAGTCAATTTAGGGAAGCTGAAATTATATACACTTAAGCTCAAAATAGGACAAACGGTATGATTTGTTCCAGTTCTGAATAATTTACTGCCGTAGTTTGTTAGAACAGTATTTTCTAACATCTTCTAGCTTCTTGAATGCGACTGAAAGAACATGTACTACTGCAAAGGGTTATGGCATTCAGCGTATCCTCATGTTTGAGGTCATGATAGAAAAGACAGGAAACTGAAGATATTATTGCCATGTCGTTAATGCTGATGTCCTTCGCGGTGTCTTTGAATCCTACTCGGTAGTAAAATTGCAAATATACTGAAAATGTCATTCACCTATAGTTTGATATTTCAAATACCAGAGGATGTAATCAGGATGTTCCTACTGTATGCAACGACACGTTTCCTGTGTTGATTATCCATGAATAATAAGAGAAGGATTATTTTTAGTAAAAACTAGGCTATCTCGTGGCTTAATGAACGAGAAAGAGAGAGATGAAAAACAACTATTCACTGTCGTCTCAGGGGACAAAAAACTAAGTTCGTTATATTTGTTGGGTGATCGCAGAATCGTGACACTTGAATACGAAACGATTCGCAAGTGGTGGATTCGTTCAGTCCACGGGGAAAAGAAAATAATACCCGAACACTCCGGCTTTGAGCCTCAATGGAAACTAGTCATGTACTGTAAGTTATAAATGACACTCGTGGTAATTGCCTACATTTGTTTTCGTCTTAAAGAATGTCGTTGAAGTTTGTTGACAAGTGCACATCTCTTGTACAATGGGGAATATTTTGCGTCAAATTTTGCGTCAAGTTCGTTTCTGGATAGATCCTACGCATTGGGAATATAAAAAAAAATAATATAAAAACAAAGCGTTACTCGTCACGCGGAACCATTCCATAACTTCTCCATGAGTGCACAGGGCGATCGGCACTCACGATTTGACGCATTTCTTGGGTGAGCTTCACTTTATGACAGTTAATCTTTTACCTTATAATTTATAATGCATTTCTTTAAAGATTTTAATGTTTATATACTTCCCACAGATCAATACACATTTAATTATTCAACTTTGTGCCATTTGATAGCGGTTTAACATCGCGGTACAGAGTGGAACACCAAATGTCGTGTTCTTGACAACGTGGTTCTTTAAATACCAATTACAAGAGCAAAGTGGGCGAGTTGGGAGAACATTTAAGCCGCAAAACCGATCCACTGATACACTATCCTCTCGTTGTCAAGAGAGATGAGGCAATTGGATATATTTTCATTCATTTGTTAAAGAAAACAATACAAAGAAAATGTTGGAGAAAAAGGGTAGCAGTATGATTGGAGAAGTATTTCTTAAAATAGTACTTTAAAATGAATATTTTTTCTAGAAGAAAAGCTTGAAAATAACACAAATCAAACTGCATATTTTTTTCCACACAATGCAAGGCCTAAATATATTCAGAACTGACGGATGGAAAGACTCCGTCAGCAGAGTACTTAAGATTTCAACCCTGTGGGTCAAACATCCAAATTCGCAAAAGATAAATTCTATTACGTTGACAGCAGGAACACAATAGAAATCAAACTGCTTGTAATTTGTGTTTGTTTAAAACCAAAAATAATTAAACATCTTACGACTTAAAACAAGTGCTTTTACAACTTGGAAGGCGTACTGCCAGGTTCAAGAGCCACTCCCAGTGCCAAGTGTGAAGACCCCGGGGCAATTTTATAATCGCTTCTGTTCCCTCATGTTATTTCAATCGAGATACAATACGGTAACCACTATAATTAGAAGCAACCCACGTGGCCCTAATAGCGCCAATGTTTTGAGAACCACTGGTCAGTCTTCGCCCTAATGATTGTGCTTCAGAAACATGGATGTCTTCCATTTAGCGTCTTGTTAGAAGACGCGGCGTTAGCACAAACTAATCGGTTGAGGGTGTCTAGAAAAGCTGAACTGGCTTAAAGCAATTGAATAAATGGTCGAATTTCTTTATCTACGGCATCTAAAACAGGTGCATTCTGCAATGAATGAACTGAGCTTACATGTAGATGAAAATGCAAGTATACGTAAAGTTAAAAAGTGGGCTAGGTTAGGGCGAAACAGAGCAGTGCTGTCTCCAAAATATATTTTTCTTTTCAATATATATATATATATATATATATATATATATATATATATATATATATATATATATATATATATATATAATAAACTAGCATGCTTTATACTTCATTTTTCATTTTAAAAGGACACGTAAGTAAATATGTAATATTCCTTTTCAAAGTATTGAACTGCATGGTCACCACTAAATACAAAGATTATACAAGTATACAATGTATATTTCAGAAAAAAGGTAGAGGTATAGGTAAAGGTAGAAAAAACACCATTTCACATAGAGATGATGGTTTAGTTGGTTAGAGATTCTTGGAGCATGCTCAACTTTCATCATCGAAGTACACACACACACACATCCCTGCGGACAGCTGCGTTTATTATGTGGACAGCCTACCATCTTAAATCAGGTGCCCTTGTGTTTTTCTTTCTCGCCTCATGCTAGTTACAAACATATGTACCAGCTTCTGTAACATAAGTGTTGAGATACCAAAGCGTCATCCACCGTTTAACAGAACCTACCAGAACACAGCCAACAATTATTTTCTCGTTTAGGCTTTGCATGAATAAAGTACAATGTAAACTACCCATGGAAACAAAATGTCAAAGCCCTCACATGCCTCGCTCTCTTTGTACGCTGCACATGTGCTTCCAACTGCGCGCCGTTTACCTTGGCAAACAATTTCATCTCTTGGCTTACGCGCTGTTGTTATAAATTCTCTTTAAAACAAAATGATAATAAAAAAACTGTTAAACAAATACTTTTCCGTGAAATATGATTACATAAACTAGTAGGAGATACATGTAGCTTTCCGAGAGACTGATGTCGTGGTGTAGACGTTCAGTTACCGTACAGGTAGCCCGGTAAAATTCTGTACCATTAAATGGAGCCTTTTTACATGGTTATATAAAAAACCCTTAAGAACGAATGAAAACGAAAAAAAAAACTGTTTGCTGATTTTTTGTATTGTTGTGCTTTTGTTTTTTTTACATCGACGCGATGAATTGTAAATATTTTGCCAAGCTCTTTCTTTCTTTAATCAAAACAAAACTCTCATGTCTAAACTTTCCACGCCTTTGTGCTGCCCTCATTGTTAATTTGCATCTAGGATTAGCTGAGTTTGAATAAACTTGCACAATGTTTTACATGTAATTTAAGCCGACAGCAGTGCGGGATGTCATTCGAGACTAGAAAAGTGTGAGGATCCTCAGGAGTGAAACTACTTTTTGAGTGATAAGGGTGACACGTTATGCGCCAGGATTATTGACTATAATGTACAGTACCACTGGTACTAAGTACTTTGGCGACACGCAAAGCATGGATAACTATAGTGCTGTTGTTTTTTGCTTGTCATCTTGAGTATGCTTGCCAATCGGGACACCATCATAATTACAGGTACGTGAAATGTGTTTTAAATGCAAATGACCATCACTCTTGCTGGTCAAATTGTGCCGATCGTCAAAGACATTCCCTCTCTAACACACAATACCCCAAAACTGGAAGCCAAAGACATATAATACCATTGTTTACCGAAAGCACGCTAAAATAATGGCATGGCATGCTGGCAAGACACACGTACACCAGCAATTCAGCCCAAGTAATGTTAATTGGATAATAAAAAAATAAACGAGACATAAGCCGACCACCCCACATATAATACGTCTTTATTTCAGTAACTTTGCGAAAGCAGACCTGTTCCACTCTTTGTCATAATTTGGACCTCGCTCTCAACCAAATCCGACAAAATGCAAAATTATTTGTGATATCGGATGGTGCTCATTGGAATTGAAATTTACTTTTTTCCTCATCAAAGACAGCTTTCATCAGAATATCCAAATGTCACACGATATTGGAAACAATATCGAAATAAACCGATCGTGAAAAAAGATACACGTCACGCAACTGCACTAGTAATGCCGCCATTAGGGTTTATCTGGTCTCCAAGACGCCCGTGGATCCAATGGCGGTTCAGGTTCTGAGGTTTGGCGTCCATTTGACGTTCTGCCGTTGAAGGCTAAATATCGGAAGTGGGCTCCTGGGCTTGCTGCGTCTTCGTAGTGTTACGGCCGTGCAACTGTGAAACGCCTTTATGACATGAGCGTTAGGGCTTACGGTGCTCTATTTGCCGTATTTGTTGTCAGTGAAGGATAGAAGGCCAATCTTATTCCAATACATTATACATACAAAGCATAAGCCAACTAACTATTTTTTTTCTTCAAACAAAGGATTTAAGCAAGCGAAAAGGCCTCGTTTCTTATCGTGCAATATGTCATTATACGTAGCATTACCTCTAATGCCCCTCGATATCCTGATCAGTATTTGACAAACGATCCGCTTACTTCTACCATCGTTATTGAAATACCGCTAATCTTTCATGAAAGATAGCCACCGCAAT